TCATTTTCTCGATTCGCTCTGTGTTTGAGATAATGATCTTTCCTTTCTGGCTGCGATTTGAAAAGTTGTTGTTTCTGGTGCTCATGTAATGATATGTTCCTGTTCCAGTCACTTTCTTTGGTCCCAAGTCAAAATATGTTCCGGCATCGTCCAGCTCTGACATGTCACCTCCAAACTGACCTGTTAGTTTTTACGTAAATTATCATACATTATCAAATGTCATCATAAATTATCACATATAACTATCATAAATCAAAATATATCAACATCAAGAGAATATCAGTTGATATTCTCTTATCACCATATCATGTAGCATTGTTTATTGACATACATCGTACATTTTCATATATAATCATATATTACAAGTCATCATACACAACCACCTATCACCATTCATCTAGCCTACGTGTAGCCGTACCCTTCCCCCTCCCAGTTGAAACGGAAGGGAGGGAACGTCTACGAAAACCTGACACAAATCGTGTTCTAAGACGTTACTCTTTTGCGAGAAAGTACACAATGACTTTTAATTGGTTGACCCTTTTTGTCGATTTCCTTTCCTGAATTCTGATTGGCTGGGGTTGGTGGTATTCATTCTGAAGAAGAAAGTCCTCAGGAAGGAAAAGTCAATTTCACAGGGCCTTTTTCTTCTTAAAAATACGCCGGAGAAAAGACTCTGGAAACCTATGAAGTTGATGGCAAACTAGGCGTAAAAGCAAAACACGCGGAAACACTCGTGTCTAAGAATCACTCGCTAACTTATATCAGTCCTAGATGTGAAGACTAAAAAGGCAACATAAAGGTTCTCTGACTTTACTTACTGTTGTCTAAGACCGCCAGGTTATGCAGACTGTTCTTATCCAAACCTAAAAAGGTGGTACTGTCCAGATGTGGCGGGTAGTTTCTACGCCATTCGTTCTCTCTCAATAAGACCACGTTTGATCGATCTGTTCCGGCATTTCCCTGTCCATCGTTGTTATTGGGGTTCGAATTTGAACCAGTCCACCTGATAATGGATAGGATTAACATAATCATTTTGCGCAATATTGTCCCAATACTGGTGCTAATAGAGCTATTTTCAACTGAATGTCGAAATTAATCTGGGATTGCATTTGGTTTGCTTTATTTCGCTCTGTGATTGGTCCAGAAACCTAGCGCCACGCCCTCAACCAATCAGATGTGAAACTGATATCAACCGCTGACTTGGTTGTGATATTTTTTCTTCTCTCTGATTGGCGTTTTGATAAATCAGGTTTGGGTTTCAACAACACTTAATTGGAAAGTGCATTATATAAGAAAACATTTCTCCATAGTTTTACTCACTGAAAGTGGATGTAGTCACCATCTTTCACGAACATGGAGTTGGGAAAAAAGTCGTACTCTACGCCGGGATAAACTTGAACAATGTTGCCGCGCTTCCCACGAACATTCAAATTGTGAATATGGACACCTTCCAGATCAGATGGCCGGGGGCGTACTGCGAATGTGTGGGACCTAAGAAAAGTAAACTAATGATGACTCCAGATGTAGATTATTAAAGATAATTGTTGCGATGAAACGACTCAAAGATTCTGTGAACAGATGGACTATGAGTGTGAGACTTAGCAATCTGTAGAATAAAAGCCTACGAACAGGATTCGATTGGAAGGACCCAGGAGTTTCGAGAGAAGAGGCCGGTGGGAGAGGGGGGAGAATGAAGATCGTTCGGTCTCCTAATACTACCTTACCTTGACCAGAGAGCCTGGGTAGGAGACAAGATGGCCTAGTACCAGTCTCTCTATCTCGGGCATGTGTATTGTTTTCAATATCGTCATCG